AGAGCAGCAGACAAGGGGAGAGAACTAAGAATTTTAAGGTCAAGGTTCTAATTAAAAATTAAACAAAATACATTTAAATAGCTAGAAATGATTGTAGAGACAGGTTTCCATTATCTGGGGTAACAAGGGAGTAGGATTCTCAAAATACAGAAAATTCAAGTAATATAGGTACTGCAGAACGTACAAGAAGTTTAGTACTGAGACATGTAAGCAGCTCCGCACAGCTTATTAGCCAAGGCTCTGTGCCATATGAAAGCAACTAATTGGCTTCTTAATGAGAGCTGGCCCAGGAAGTAATATAACTGCTTCTGCTTCGCCAGATATATTAAATCTTACTGGAAATAAGTGGTTTCAGGAAGTAACTGCAGTGTCTCTCCATCCATGGTACAGCAATTTCACAGCCTAGGAAAACTGAACATTGACAAATAAAGGAGTAACAAACTAATTAACCATGCAAAAAAATAAGCAATTGTCATGGTGATGGGTTCCAGCATTTCTGATTACTTCAAAACTCAAGAGTAGACAATTTTCTAGAAGATTTGGTCTGGTTCATACATGAGAGAATTCAGGGGAAACAGCTGTTTTCAGTGAAACCCTTCTGGCTTTTTAATTGGCAATGCTCTAAAAGAAAGGAGCGCCTTTCTCCTCATTAAAAGAATACTTTATTTGTCCAACACTGTAGAGTTCTTTGTGCCAGAAGACACTGTTTCTAAAACAGATATGTAATTTTTCAACATTAATTAGCTTTGTAAAGAAATAAGAGTAGTATTGGTAGGTTTTCAAGAAGCCTAAATTTTTAATGATAATGCCATCTTCTGGCAAAAAAAGAGAAGACTTTTACTTTTTTACAATAAAAGCCAGCACTACCTCAGTTATTGTCAGGATCTAATTTTGTTTGTTCACCTGAGAGAACACAGTGTCCTGGGGCAGAAAAAATATAACATTCTTCAGTGTAGTAAAATGACGTCAAAGCCCAGGTCTTGTTCCCTGCAAAGCTATGAGTGGCTTCACTGAAAACAGGATTGAGACAAAAGCTTAAGAATTCTTAAAACAGCTGGATATAACATATTTTGCGGCAGAAGTGAGTCAGTATGGAGGCATAATTCTCCATGAGCACCCAGTTATAAGGTCAGATAGTCTCAGGCCTAAGAAAAACTTTTCACTCAATCTCTATTACAACATCACTTCTAATGCTTCGCTGTTCAGTGGTTGACCTTCTCATTTTATCTGGCAGGCAGACTCAGCTACACTTTGAAATTTTCACTTTATTCTCACACAAGGGACCTGCTTTGCCACTGACAAAAAGATGCTGAAGCTGGTCAGTGAAACAGTGAAGTCAATGAAGTCCAGAGCATCTTTACTAATTACACAGGCTAGCAGCAAGGGAGAAACGGTTAATGGTGATAGACCTTACTACTGGAACATGTGAGATGTCTGAACAAAGGACTAGTCAGCCTATCATCTTTATGTGGCAAACCTGAGTTCTCTACAACTCTTTATGCAAAGTTTTACAAAGATCTTAAGAGGCTGCCACATGCTGGTAATGGATAAGTACTTATCGTAAAAAAACATTAGAATTTTATATAAGGGGACCAACTCAAAGCACAAAATAAGATCACAGCTTGTCATCAGAGAACTCCTCCTTTGTTTCAGTAATAGAGGTGTTTTAAAGGTCATAAAGCTGGGGAAAAACAAAAAGTCAGGCGTAAACAGTAGTAATGAGTGGTTGCATTTTACATGTTCTGAAGAAAATTAACTTACCACAAAATTATGCTCTAGGAGCTGATCCTCCATTTTAAAATGCTTTTAATTATTAACTAGCTCTTACACAGATCTTCTCATTCTCAATGCACTTTTCAAAGTGGAGAAAAGGCTGGCCTTCAAAGATACTCAGTTAGTGTCAGTCACTATGCATAAATCACGTAAAATCCCTACATAGACTATTTTAAGAATAAAGCAGCCTTAGGCCACTATATCTTGATCCTTATTAACCTCTGATATACTAAAGATGTCAGTGCACCATTCACTTGAATAACACTCATATTATGCGAGTAACAGCCCTGTTATGCCACTGTAGCTCACTCACATCTACCTGACAATTTTAGCTGACTTCCGCTGATAGTCCTGAGTGCCACCACTAAGACATGATGCAAGTATCACTGTATCTGTATTTTAAACTAGGGAAATTAAGTCGTGGCAAAGTGAAGAAGTCTTATATGGCACTCCTACAAATGCAAACTAATGCAACTATACATTTAATCCCACAAATAATCTAAGATAATCATTCTGAATCACAAAATTTGGTCTCATCATTAAATAATTTTATTAGGCACAATCTTCAAGAGTATCTGATAAACAGTAAGTGTTAACCAGTGTACAAAACCTAAACAGCACCTTGTTTTCCTGCCTATCACTTTGTATTCTGTAAATAATTTTCCTTTCCAAGTACCTTATAAGAACAAAAGTTAAGAACTTACAAAATCTGTAAATGCATGTAGCAGGTAGGTACGTTTCCTCTCCTGACCACGACTATAGCTGTGTATTGTACTCATTACTTGTAACCACATTACTCCAAACAAGTCTTCCGCATGGGCTTTGTCTGTGCCAAAGCATTTGCTGGTTTTTAAAGTATAGAAGCAGAAGACCAGAACGAAGCCAATCTGACAATCATATGATCAAGAAGAGGGAGACTTACCAACTCACGCCACCAGTCATCCATTTTTATTTCTTATTCATCTGAACATTAAGCTCTCATTTAACTGTGATCCAAAGCCAAATCTGAGTTTGCCCTCCAGAAGTGAATGGCTAATTTGCTTTTCCAGAGTACCACACAAAATGCTTTGCCTTTAATCATTCTGACCCTGTTCCTTGGAAACTAGGTTATTCCTGTGAAGAATGAGGTCAGGGTGTGGTAGCACTTTTATAAACACAAGCTCCATAAGAGAACACCTGTACTGTAACATGAATTTATGACTTTAGTATAATGCAGCAGTTAGGGATCTATGAAAGTGTGTTTGACGTTGCAGCAGATCCCTTTGTAAGATCATAGGATTACACTATGCAACTCCCTGTGTACGTACATAACACGGTATTAAATATTCTGTTGCTCATTGGAACAACTGTTGTAGCAGCCTGTTTTGAAGACACGAGGAACAAAGTTGAATACTAGCAATAGATAACCACGTATAGTTTCAGTATAGTAAAAGTAATGGGAGAGGAGGGAATACTTTTAATGTTAAATGACAACTATTTTACAGCTGGACCATGATGCAGGTCTTCTCCCTGCAGCAACACTCCTACTTCCTTTGCTACTTACTGTCATACCTACTAGGGAGTTGGTTACTAAAACTGCAATGCATTTCATTGCTCTTTAAAACGGACTGAAAAACAACAAATGAATGTTGGAGGGGTTGTTTTCCAACAGAGTATTTTTCAATTGGCAAGAGACTGCTATTTTTTATCATCAGCCCTTCATACTAAGTATAGTCTGGTGACCTCAGCAGAAGAGACTCCATCCTACAGCTGATCCCCGACAACTGCTTAAAACAACAGCTGCGTGGAAACGGGAAGTGTCTAATATTCAACTGCATGCTAAGAAAATAATCTACAAGTTATATTGGGATGCTGATTATTTGAAGATTGTGCCCGAGCTTCTCCTGCCAGTAAGATTTACCAACTGGCTTTCAACATTTATTTTATAGTTGTATCAAAACAAACTGCCGCGCATCTGGAATTACACTGCACAACTGAGGGGGGACGTAGTTACTGGATTTAGACCCGTAGGGATTTATAGCTTCCCTCGCCGAATTTAGTCCCAGACTGAGGAACTGTACAGCTTCACCCCTGGAAGAAGGGGCGTAGGGCTGAGGCGGGGGCCTCGCACCCAGCCGGCTGCCGGCACCCTCCTGCAGCAGCCGCCTCGCCCCCGTGCCCCACCATGTGAGGGCTCTCCTCTCATCCTTCCCTGTTCCACCCCGGGTTTTTTTCCTCTTTTCCCCGCACACATCGGCGCCGGCCAGGGGCCCGAAGGAGGGGGCGGCCCAGCAGCCGGCACCGCAGCCGGCTCGGGATCCGCGGCGGGATGGGACGGGGCTGAGGGAAGCCGCGGCGCTGCCCCGCCACCCGTGGAGGGTGATGCCCCCGGGACAACTCCCCCGCTGCCTCGGCGCGGCCGTCCCCTTCACCTCACGGCAGGCCCCCCCCCCCCCCCCAGCCGCTGCACCCTCCCCGCCCGCGGCCCCCGCTGCCACTCACCGGCGCTCGGCAGCGGCGACTAGGCCGCGTCTCCATGGCAACAACGCTTTTCCCGCTTCAAACGCTGGCGCGCAGCCTCTCGCCCGCAGCCAGCGAATAGGACGAGGGAGAAGCGCGGACGGGGCGGGTCCCGGCGGGGAGAAGCCAATCCGAGATCTCTGCGGAGCCTAGAGTCCAGGCGGGAGGGCGGGACGAGAAGGGGAGGGGCTCCCGCCAGCGCCCGTGCCGCTGTGATTGGTTGAGGCTGCTTTCACTCGTACGCCGCGCCCCGCCTACCCTCCGGCCCGGAAGCGGAGGTGAGGGTGGCCGCCGTGGGGGTGACCGGGTCCCTGAGCCTCCGTGTCCGGCTCCTCCAGTGTCCCAGCCTGCACCGGGGGGGTGCCCCGCTGCCATGGCAACGGCCGGAGGGGCCCGGCCTCCCCCGGGCCGCCAGCCCTGGTCCCCCCGTCCCACCTCGGCCCGGTACCGGCAGGGCCCTGCCCGCTGAGAGCCGGCCCCTGGGGACACGGCGGGGGGCCACCCTCTGCGAGAGGGAGGGAGGGAAGGGGAGCCGGACCCCGGGGTGCCTGGCGGGCCTGGGGGAGGTTTGTCGTTCCAGGCTCCGGCCGAGCCAGCTTGGCGTTCCCGGGCGCGCACGGGAGGGGGTGCTGGCCTCCCGCCTTGGGCGGCCTCCTGCCTCCAAATCAGGCGGGGTCTGTCCCTGGGCCGCCCGGGGGTTTGGTGGCTGGCAGGGGGGGTGGGTTGTCTTTGGCTCGGCTGGTCAGACACTGATTGAGGCGGTTAAAGAGGGGTTAACCGAGAGAGCTGGACGCCGTCCTGGGGCTTGGTTGGTGGGGAAGGGCTCTGTGGTGTGGTTTCCCGCTTTGGAAACTGGAGGTGCGACTGGGCATCTCGGGGAAAAACTGTTGTGTAAACGTATTACTTACTGAAATGCGCGGCTCCGTCAAAATGCAAAGCTTTCCCTGGAACTGGGGATCGCTGTATTCTTTAACATGGATTTCTCATCTCCATTGCTTTCTCTCTTTTTCTGTGTAGGACCAGTTGTCCTGGCTGCATAGCTTATTGATTATAATATTTGTCACTTAAGAGGTGTGTTCCTTTCAATTTACATGAAGTTAGTGCTTATACCATATGCCAAGAAGCTTTTAGTTTTGTGTAACAGCCTCATCTCTAGCCCAGAGAGCAGGGACCTTGTCCTTTGTCCTTCCTTTTCTCAGCTCTGCCACTGGCATCTTGAGGAGTTCTCTGCTGCAGGGGATCTATCTTGGGCAATCATTTCTCTATGCCACTTCCAGTAATGTTGAGGTATTGTCTTTGCACAGGGCCTTTGAATTTTTGCAGTGGAAAAGCTTCAGAGTATTAATCAGTGGCTTTCCTCTTGCTTTATGATTTATTTTTTTTTCTCCCTGCAGTGTGGTTTGTAATATATCAGCAGCAAAGAAATGTCATGCAGGTCATATTTCATGCTTCTTGATAACTTTTTCTTTTTAAGCTTTTATACAGGTTCCTGTTTCCTTGTTTTAAAAGGAAAGGACTCAATTTTTTTACAATTCAAATATAGTTAATGGGATGCATTTTAATTGTGTAGTAACTCAAAGGGATGGACGATTTAGCGCACGCGGAGATATGTTTGCTGGCTAAATACAACTAGTCTGTTTGAGCTCCACATTGTATGTTGTTCCTGCTTGATCCTCTGTGCTCTTCCACAGCTCTCCGTGCAGTTAACAGAGGGGCATGGCTGTGAGAGCTTGTGGCTTGATCATCTACAGGAGGCTGCAGTCAGCACCATCTTCTAAGGTCACTGACAGTATTGAATACCTCCTCCTTCAGACATCCTATGGGACCCACCACTGGACCCCACCCAAAGGTGATGTTTGTTCTGATAACAACACACTTCAAGATAGTTTTTGTTGGGAGTGAGTGACATTGTAGACTGAACTTTGGCAGAATGCTGCTAAGGTCAGCTTTGAGGGGCAGTTAATCAGTTGACAGTAACTACTGATTGTGCTGTTTGTGCAGCTGAGTGGGGAGTTTTCTGGCCAAAATTCTTTGCAAATTGTGACTGTATAAACTATTGGGCACAACTGATTGGGGTTGGGGTGGGGGGGCAGTGTCACCCAATCGTGCTCCTCAGATATCTGATGTTTCTGGCAGACATTGAACACACAACTGAAATTAGGCAACTAGAGAAATTTTTACCTTCTCGCTCAGGTCTGACCGTCCGCCAGATAGCGCTGCTGCCAGTGCGTGGTTCTTTGACCCATGTATAAACAGAAGGGTCACAGTTTGCAGCGCAACATTAGAAGGCAAACTGAAATCGGTGATGATTTACTTTAAAGCGCCTTTCTTAAAAGATGCAGGAATTTCTTTAAGTTCAGGAATTACTGATGAAAAGCACATGACTAATGCAGCAGAGATGAGAGGAGCAGCTGGGAGAAGTAACCTTATCAGACATCTTCACCTAAGCAATCCTTGCTCATCAGTGAGGCCCCAAAGAAGAAGACAAGCCTGGTGCCCCAAGACATCTAACAACACCTTGTCTGTAAAGACACATGACAGAGCCAGTGTTTGGTAGTACATAGTCACAGCCCTGGTACCAGCAAAAGCGCAGAACAGAAATACTTCATGTTCCTTGTAGATCTTCCTACCCTCTGAGATTTCTTCCTGCTAGTATTCACTTCCTAAAATGCAGCGCTCTTAAAGCATACTGCAGGAGCAGTTTGTAAACAGGAATTTGCAAACTGGAAAAAAAAGCTCGTAACAGCATCAGCTACACTCTCCTATTAAGGGAAAGAACAAAACTTTCCAAACCTCCCCCTTTGTCCACCTCACCAAAAGCCTAAGGGAGTAGAGTTTGCAGCCTGCTGGAAAGCTAAAAAACATGTGCTGGGACATGATTGGTTGTTGTGAGAGGAGAGACCCGTGTGGAAAGGTTCATTGGGAGCACAGTAATTCTGGACAAGTGTTTGAAAAGACTTGTACGCATTTCAGTAGGGAGTGAAAAGACTCATAGGCGTACATCTCACGCACTCAAAATCACAGAATGGTTTGGGTTGGGAAGGGCCTTTAAGGGCCATCTGGTCCAACCGCCCAGCAGTGAGCAGGGCTGTCTTCAGCTAGATCAGGTTGCTCAGAGCCCCTGACCTTGAATCTTTGCAGGAATGGGGCATCTACCACCTGTCTGGGCAACCTGTTCCAGTGTTGCAGCACCCTGATGGTAGGATATGTCTTCCTTGTATCTAGTCTGCATCTAGCCTCTTTTAGTGTAGAGCCGTTGCGCCTTGTCCTACCGCTACAGGCCCCATGAAAAAGTCTGTCCCCATCTTTCTGCTGAGTCCCCTTTAAGTATTGAAAGGCTGCAGTGAGGTCTCAGCGGAGCCTTCCCTTCTCCAGTTGTCTGGAGAACTCCAACTCTCTCAGCCTGTCCTCACAGGAGAGGTGTTCCATCCCTCTGATGATGTTGGTGGCCCTCCTCTGGACCCACTCCAACAGGTCTGTGTCTTCCTTGTAGTGAGGACTCCAGACCTGGACACAGTATTGCAGGTGGGATCTCACCAGAGTGGAGTAGAGGAGAAGAATGTTGACATGTTGTTTAAGGTTTTATAGATCAAAAGGCACATGGCAGCCTTTAATAGTAGCTTGGTACAGATTTGGGGGCAATAAATGAAGGGGAGCTATTACATTATATATTCTCTGCGATATGAGTGGTCTTCAAAGGCAGCATCAGGTTGTGCAATGCAGTAACATAACTTGTATATGATGCAGACATAGATTTAACGTGGCAGGAGCCAGAATGAGAAGTTGTAATCACCTGTCCAAGAGCACGCAAAAGGCAATTTACAGCTACAGCTGTACACTGGTATTTTAAATGTACCCTAAGCAGCTGCAGCCCTTATGGGATTAAACTGGACTTGCTTGGATCTCCCCACATGAGCTTCCTGAGCCTCATCTATGCTCCTAGAACTGTGACTTTAAAATTGTCGAGGCTGATGGGAAGGGGGTGTGAGGTTCGCTTTCCTCCTCAGCATATTGGAACTGCATTAGTGCAACAGCTGGGAGGATCTGAAAGCTGTGGTTTAAGGTGCTGCCAGCAGTCCTTTTTCTGCCTGGTAGGTAGACTGTACCGCACAAAGTTGGAAACTAAGTAATGAGCTCAGTAATGAGCTTAGATTTGAGGTTATCAACAGCAGGGTGAGGTGATTGCCTGTTGCTCTGCTGGAGAGCACGAGGTTGCACTAGTGTCCTTTGAGTTGAAACTGAATCTCAGCCCCCCAGCTTTATTGCTACCTCAACCCTTTGCACATTTGGCAACTATGGATGATGACTATCATAAAAAATAGTGGGTGCTTACTGTTCATGGATGTTCTTTGGGCATTTGCTGGGGATACTGTAAAGGTAATCCAGCTGTGCAAGGCCAAGTGGATTCTGTTTCTCAACTGTTAGTAATAAGTCCCAGCTATGGAAATACATACTTAATCAAAAAGGAAACAGCTTGACTTGTAGTGCTGAGATTCAGGGGGAAAATATTTTTACTTAAAGACTCAGTGTATTTGATCTCAGATATCCGAGACGTCAAGTGCAACATCAAATGCTGTTTTCTACACGGTTGCTGCTTGAAATAGAAGTGTATTTCACATTTGAGATGATGTCACGTTTTAAGTAAGAGGTGTTTAAGCAGACAAAGAAGTGAGTGAGAGCTGTTGGGAAGGCAAAATGGATTCCCAGATACCCCAGTTCTAGTACTAAAGGGTGGCTTTGGGTTCCTGGGCCCTGAGGAAGGATTCCTCTCTCTGACGAAGTTACGGCTATTTGCAGCCAACCACACAGAAAATAGTGACACAGGGGCAAAATAAAGTTTAACCTTTTTTTCCTCTTGAAGCCTCCCAACTCCTGCTACGTTGCTTTTTTGAGATATTGCTTGGGTTGTTCTATTTATGTTCTGGTCTGGAGCTTTCATGAGAAAACCAAATCTGACATTTCTCAACAAAAGTACAAACAGCTGGGGATGTGTTATATTTATCCATTGTTTGTAATGGCACCTCTCATTCTGCGCAATGTAAAATAAATGATGTGTCCTAGGAGAACTATGCAGCTGGTGAAAGGACTGGCTTTTAGGCTTGCTGCATTTCAGAGGGGAATATGGGAGAGAAGTAAAAATACCCCTAACTGCCTAATTGAAACTCACCTTTTAAATGGCATTTGTTGGTGCCTGGTCCCGTTGTTTCTGGGCTGTTGGCATGAGTAAGAGTTTTGCAGAAATGAGTCTTAAGCTTCTGTGGGAGGGAAGGGTTGAGAGAGTACTAAGACTCTCGCACATGAGCAGTCTCCCCTCTAGCTGGATAAAGGAAAAACATTCATGAGGCACTCAGTCCTCAGTATGATCTAAGGTGGAACATGACGGGTGCAGGGTGCTCCAGAAGAGGAGGAGAGGACTGGGAAGAAAAGATGTGTAGTGCTGACAGGCCACTGGGAGTTTCAGAAGATGTCAAATAAACAACAATCCTAAAAGCCACAAGACAAAGACAAATCAAGACGTAAGAGTTGGAAAAGCAATCTTTGTTCTCCAATTTCCATTTGATTCTGTATCAGCTAGAGTGTACTCTCATCTCTGTCTCCCAATGTTTCCTAGTTGTCAAATGAATAAACAAAATCTGAGTTTCCTTCTCAGAGACTTACTTTTTCACCTTCTTAACAGGCCACGTGGACCCAGGAGAGGACGACCTGCAGACAGCCTTCCGGGAAACGCAGGAGGAGGCTGGTCTGCAGGCCAGTCAGCTCACCCTCATAGAGGGGTACAAGAAAGAACTGCACTATCCTGTCCGTGGCAAACCTAAGACCGTCATTTACTGGCTGGCAGAAATGAAGGACTGTAACACAGAAATCAAGCTTTCGGAGGAGCACCAAGCTTTCCAATGGCTGAAGCTGGAGGATGCTTGCAAATTTGCAGAATATGAAGACATGCAAGCTACGCTGAAAGAAGTGCATCAGTTTCTCTGCTCCAAAGAATAAATGCTTTTGTGAAGGATAAGGGGAGTTTTTGAAGAAGCATGGCCTGTGGTTTTTGGTTTGTTTGGTTTTTTTTAAACCAGGAGAAGAACTACATGGCTGCAGAAATATAGATTTCTTTTTTTAAATCTATACAAATTCATTGAAGAGCTTTTAAAGAGCTTGTGTCTCCCCTAACTAACGCAAAAAAGTGTGGTCTGATTGAACCGTGAACCAGAGATCTCTGAACTGAAACCCAGAGCTGACAAAGACTTCCTCTGTCCCTGTCATCTTTTCTTGTTCCTTTTTTTTTTTCCTTTGAAGTGGTGAACAACCACACATATTTTTGAAAAATCAAACACTTGATTTTTCTTGACTTGCTGATATAGAACTACAGAATTGAGAAAATGAGCATATGGAGATTTTTAATAACAAAATGTTTACTGCAGAACTTGCACCTTGCATTTCAAATGGAGAAGCAGTAGTTCTGTTCCCAACTCCTCCACTGATATGCTGTGATAACTTGTCAAATCATTTCAGGTCTTGTTTGTTTGTATCATGAATTTATGTACATCACTAATGTACTGTTATGAAAACATTTTCCATCCAAAGAGTCTTAGTAAACAGTTAACGTACAGTATTTAAATGGTAAACTTGAAGTTTTTCTTTTGCCTCTTTCTTTTCATCTTTGCTCTTTAACAGACACCTTGGCCTACGTTATTCAGGGGGTTGGGAAAGGGAAATCTGTCTGCCTAATATAGCATTTTCTGCACAGAATATCTAAGCAAATGTGCAATCTTGCTTCTGTTTGATAGTGTCTATGTTTCTGTGGCTGCAGCCTGCACCCATATGTGGGCAGCAGGGCCATGTGCACTGCCAGTGTTGTGCTGTAGATACACACGCTGGATGATTGCAGAAGCCTGCGGTGGTACCGATGAGCTCGCCTGCATCAGCTTTCCTGTGGACCTCTCTTTTGTCATTGATGTTGGTGGGAGCTGAGGTTGTTACCACTCTGTATGATTATGCATGTTCAGTTAGTAATGGTTCATAATCTTTTGGATGTTTAGGTACATAAATACCAAAAAAGCATGATGGCATTATTAAAATTTTTAGGTGAAGAATGAGATTTCTGAATCCTGGGCAACTCTGGGGGTGAACAAGTGTCCCTTCTTCCCTACATCTCCTCCAGTCTTTACTGCTTAGTCACTTGGACCTTGCAAAGCAAATAAGTGTATGAGAAAGTGGGTTCTACTTCCACTTTGTCTTCCTGATTGCTGCAGGAGTGAAGCGAGGGTCATCAGCATCGCATCAGCCCTGAAGACTTGCAATACCAGAGGTGCAGCATAGCTGTGCTGAGAAATATGGGCGGCAGTTTACTATCATGTTAACTCTCCAGTTACGCAGCACTCATCCTTTGGTGCAGCGTACGTTAATAATGTTAGTACCAGTGTGACAGTGGTGTCTTGCTCATAACTCTGTTATCTTCCTGTAGACTGATTTATAAAAGCTCCCTTATAGTGCATCTTTTTTGTGCGTGTGTGTGTGTATATACACACTCACATACACACAGATGCACTATAGTGCATACACAAGGATGCACTATAAGGGGGCTTTTAATATATAGACACACCCATAAACAATTACAGTGCTCCTCCACTTTACAGTCAGCTTTTATTTTGTTTATGAACACTGTTTACAAGCACTGCATTCAGGTGATGGCAGAGAGTGAACAGCACGTAGGTTGTGTGATTGCTCTGAGTGTTTCTCAGCTAGCTTTAGAGCAGAGGATGGAAGGTGTCTCCCACTGTCACCTGGTCCAGCCCTAAGGCAGAATCGGCTATTTTGGAGTCTTACTTTATGGATTATGTTTGGTTAATGTGCTTTTTAAGATCTCTTGTTATAAAGACTCACACCTTCAGCTCCTCTGTCCACACCTTGGAAAATTTGGTATCTAGCATTTGATGTAGGTAAACCAGTGAGAAGTAACTAAAAGATAACGAGTAAAAGAGAGGGGAAGAAAATAGTTAAAAGCCTGTGCTGCTTCACAGTCTAATTTTTTCATTATTGTTTGAGCTACCATTTAATCAGTGCTATGTAAACAATGGTGTTACTGCCTTCATGTTTATGAGCAAGATTAGCATATTAAGTATGAATTATAGAGTCATTAACAAGTCATCTGTTTTGCCCATTCAGCAGTAGTGAACATAAGCACTTGTTGCTTTGGAAAGCACATTAGCTGAACTCCAAGTATTCGCATTGTAATGGCACTGCATACATAGTGTTCCCAAAGTGTGTCAGTGTTTTGGAGGGTAACAAGTGCTGTAAGGTGATGTGCTCCTTGGACAAAATTTCAAAGGCGGGCATCTTAATTGTGGTAGAAAAATGTACAAGGGATGTAGCTGTGATAATTGGTGAGGCACTGCGTATGCATTTTGAGCAATTTATGTAGAGAATGTATTCCCACAGATTTTGTGTGTAAAATGGTGCTTATGCATTTTGAAACTTGACCTGAAAGTCTCTGGATTTGTCTTAAAGTGGAAACACTGGAAAGTCAGAATTTAATTCTGACTCTTGTTAGTGTTCACTGCTCACTGGTGAAGAAAGAGTTCTTCCTCTGCCCATGTCTAGTAGTAAAATACTTTCCCAAGAAGTGTGTGGGAAACCCTCCAGTAAATAATTATGGAATAATCTGCCTGGAGAAGACATTTCTTTCCAACCTCTATGATTTTTATGCTCTGAACCAATAAGGTTTGTATTTTCTTTCTTGAGAACAGCTAAGCTTTTGGTCATAATAGTATCTCGTGGCAGTTAACTTTTTATCAGGCTGTGGATCTATGTTTAAAAATAAATTAAAAAAAAAGAAATCAAGAGACTTTAAATTCCCTGGTGACCTTACTTCTGCCTTACATTAAATAAAAACAAACTCTAGAGAAGTACAAGCTCCATGGAAATAGCACAACAACTTAATTTAGGTAAAGTGAAAAGTGTTAAGTTTAAGTCTGAGTAAGAGACAGGTTAGGATATGGTTTCCCTTGCTCTACTGAACAAATACACTGATGCAGCTCATACTTGTGATTTCCTGGTGTTAGTATTTCTTTCTCCTGATTTATAGCCATGATTACGGTTTACATCATCACAAGATCAGAGAGAAGGAAAGCATAAATTCATGAATATTAGGAAAGCACTAAGACATTACAGGTTTCACTGAGGAAAGATCAGGATTGAGTGTGACGGTCACAGGTAATTATGCTCAAACAAGAAGTGTAAAGGCTGAAAACAGTGCCTTACTCCTTTCTAGAAAAAAACTATATTACTGCTCTAGATGGGAGCAAAATATCTGTTCATTGACTATTCCATATGACTATAGGAAATCAGAGACTGAAGCTGGTATAAAATGGCTGGATAATGTAATATCCCTGACAAACATCAACAACATTACTTGTCATTCTACAAAAAGAAAGGGGATGTGTACGATAATAAGATCTAACACATCCTAAATATGGAAATATTTTGAGAGAGACTTACTATGTCAGTAGGACTCTTGCAGTGGTGCAGAGGGAATGATGGAGTGCTACCTTTTAAGTTAGAAAAATGACTTGATGTTACTTAATTGATAACTTAGTGGGGGCAGTATTTTGGCAGATATCTGGAGGAGAGTCTTCAATCTTTTTGAGTCCTGAAGGCAGTGCTTATTAGTTAATGTTCTCACACTGACAAAGTAACTGACAGCCTTCTGTGTCTGTTGGCAGCTAGTTTTATCTTTAAAAGGATTTAAGGATCATCAGGACTTCTGTTTTGCACCTTACACCTTGTCTCCAAGGATTTACTTTCTCATACGCTCAATAACTCTAGAATTTCAGGGCAATGGGCAGTTGCAGCTGGCAAGAGTCTCGGCTTCATTTAGCTAAATCAGGGTTTTGTTATGGGTTAAACCAGCTCTGGAAGAGCTAAGCAGCGTGTGCCTGTACAAACCAAACAATCTGCTCTGCTTGCTTCACCCTTGTGCTGTGCAAGATTGTTCTCAAGTGTTAAAAAAACCCCAAACAGTGCTTTACAACTCCCTGTCAGAACAGCAAGGCTAGGGAGGAGATCGGCTATGGTGGCACTCTTCCTGGTGGGAAGAGTGACACTGGATGCAACAACAGCTCCATTATTTTGGTGCTAGTCCATTTGATAATTGGCATTATCAAAAAGAGGAGTGACAGTCCCATCTTTCCACTCAATGAGGATCTCTCCATGCCTCAAGGAAGGGGAGCGAGATGGTGGAAGGTACGGCTGGGGACCTCTTCGTAAGGGAGATGGCTCCCGTAAGTCAGCTCTGCTGCTGTTGGCTGGGGAGCTCTTCAGAGCAGAGAGGATTTTCTTCTTCCTAGCAGAAGAGAGAAGAAAGTACGTAACTGGGTCTGCCTGTCACTTGGTTGCTTCTCCATGCCAACTGGTTCAGCAACCGTGGTGCCCACATTCCCTAGACCTTCAGGGATGGCATGAGGTGTGTAGGAGAGGAGGAACCAACATTAGCGGCTGCATTTACATGGGATAGTGAGTGGGAGGGACAAGCAGGGTGGTAGAGAGGAGAAATCATCAAGGGTGATATCATGGGTGAGCGGACCCATCTGCTCAGAGCCAGACACTTCAGGTGTGGGATGGGGAAGGATGCCAAGATCAAGACTTTTGTTTTGAAATGCTGGACAGGGAAGTGGCAACTGAATGAACCCAAATCTCACTTACTTGTTGTAATGAACATTGAGTGTCAGTATTATTAATCCCAGTATGAATGCCAAGGGGCTGAGGACCAGCATGGCTGTCTTCCAGTTGGTGCCTGAAAGGATGTAACAGAAAACAATCATGCATTTACTGAAGAACCTATCCCTGTTCTTATGCAATAGCCACGACTGCCACAAAAACCACCTGTAATGTCCCTGAAGACTAGTAGGTAACAGGAAAAATGCTTTGTCCATAAGATCAACATCTTACAGTTACTTTCACTGCACAGCATCCCTCTATTGAAAATGGCCACAAAAAGGTTTTCTTTCTTGCTAGGAAGATGATAACTATTCAAGCTTCT